TTTTGATTGCCTTGTATTACATGGAGCAGATTTTGAGCGGAAAAGCGGAACGGTATAGTGACAAATGGATGTTTTTATTTATATTTTAACATTGTTTTCACTTAATTAATTATAATTTTGATTAATATGCTTATCTTTTTAGCTTATCTATTGAAAATAAGAATTTTAATCAATACATATTGTTCAAAATTAATATTTTATAATTTTCCGTTCCGCTTTTCCGCTCAAAATCTGCTCCATGTAATACAAGGCAATCAAAACAGACGGAACGGAACGCGGGAATCTAGTTACTATTCTCTTCCGCGTTTCCGCGTTTCCGCGTTTCCGCGCTCCATGTAATGCCAGCCATATTCCTTCACTACGACGGTTTACTATATAAAAGGGGAAAAAAGAAGTGAGGTTACGTCTGATATCATTCTGGCGCATAAGTAATACCAAAGTGGGAGAAAGAAAATACGCAAGTACGGCACACATTTTTTTTCTTTTTACTCAACAATGAACAACGGCAATATTCACAGTATCATTGAGGTAATAAATATTTTGAATCAACATTAGGTGACGCCAGTGAACTCTATACATACTGGAATGAGTGATCTATAGTTCTGGGGTGCTTTCGCGACGTAGGCCTAGTTTACATCGTGCACTTGATACGCGTATCGTAGATCAAAATGATCCGGATCAAAATGATCCGTGCTATGATTGGTCAAATCTGAAATTTCGTAGCATCTCATTGAAATTTTATTCAATGAAATTCCAGATTTGACCAATCATAGCACGGATCATTTTGATCCGGATCATTTTGATCTGCGTCGCGAAAGCACCCCAGGCAACAGGAACAGGGAATAGAATTTCTGACGCGTTGGATTGGTTGGAAGAAAATTTCCAACGAATCCAACGCGTCAAAAATTCTATTCATTCCTATTGCCTGTTGCCTGGCATTGTGTGATAGGCTTTACGAACGCAGCTTGTGTGCATGGAGCTACACACAGGTGAATGTCTCACCTTTCCTTGGCTCGAAGAAAAATCGATAAATGTTCTCTATCGTGTGACGCCGCTCAGTGTATAGCACATATACATATATATATATATGGGCTACAAACTTGTTGATCTGATCCGGTAGGTATTATTTTATAAGAGTTTCACAGGGGGTGAGTACGTGCGATACACGGCTTGTTGCGTTTGTTGAAAGTCCCCCTTATACACGACGTTTTACGACAACAATTGTTGTGTCGACGATAAAGCTTGCGATACAAGCGCTGGTCTAGCTTAAGAGAAATAAAAGTGACAGCTGTCACTCGTGTAATTTCCGTATCAGCTGGCGTGTGCACGATAAAACGCACTGTCATCAAATACCGTTGTATTCTCACATAAAACGTCACTTGTTCCTTTGCACGCATTGCAATTTTTACGCTCGGAATTGAATGTAAAAATTGTTTTATCTTGTTAATATTTTGTGGATATATATATTAAAATGCGTAACATGTTTAAATGCGTAATTAACACGTTTTTGTAGACCGGCGTGAGCATTTTGTTTTCATTTTTTCTACGGAAAGAGATACTTTCTGCCACACACATCTGCTTGTCTTCTGTCTTTCGTCTCACCTGTTGCTCCTACAAAGTCTCGATACTGTCGTTCTCTGCATGAAAAATTCATTACTGTTATTATCATTTGGATTTAACGCACAATGTCGAATTACCCTTACGAATATGTGAGATGTCTAGGTACGTCTGCAGCAACTCTAAGAATTTGATAAATTTAATTATATGTAATGTAAAGCGTTTATAGAATAAACCTAAGTTTAATTTTACTTGGAGATTTACTTTGTACATTATTTTCTATACACGTGTTATGTTTCTTACCAGTATTTGTTGTATTTGTCAACATTTACAGATACTTCTGCCGTACAATAAGACGAAGTGTTTTTCAGATATGGAGCAAATAAGAGAGGAACCTAAAACGGAATCTCATTCTTTGAAAGGCTTCGTCCCTCTTTTGGGCTTTACTGAGGGATGTGGTGCGCTTCTTGTAATCTTGGTGACTGTGTGGACATATTCCTATAGAGATGGTTTCTCATGGAAATCTAATCCGCAGCTTGAATTTAATTGGCATCCTTTGTTGATGATTGTTGGACTCGTGTTCCTGTACGCTAATGGTATATTTATAAAAGTAACACAACACACACACTTCCCTCGTGGAAATATTTTATTGAAAATATGGGGTTTTGCTGAAATCTTTTTGAATTGACAATTCCCTTGCCCGTTCCATTATAATTTCAGTCATTTTTCATTAAACAGTAATAATTTTCAATAATATATTAAACTTTTCATGTATTTCGGAGTATTACATCGAATTTTATGAGGAAAAATCTGATTTATTTTGAGATACATTTAATAATCTTTCAATAACTTTTATTTCGCTTTCATCGATTTTCTAGTGTTTTCAGCAAAAACACTTCCGCCAGAGTTTCTACCCACACAGTACAGAAAGATTGCAGGAAGATTGCAGAAATGTTACATTCCAAGATTGCAATATTGCAGCAACGTTGCGCAACATTGCTGCAACGTTTCTGAAGGATTGCAGTAACGTTGAAATGTCCGCCCTCAGAGAGAATGCAGTGCAACATTATAGCAATGTTGCAGTGCAATATTTTTGGAATAATTTGTTGTTGTACATAAGCAGAGAATTTACTAATTACATATGCATCCGGACCTTTTTCAATACACAGCAAGCTATTGCGAAGCAACCTAAGGAGATTATGTCGCTTCGCAATAGATGGAGATTGCGAGCAACACCGCACTGATCAAGTACTTAATAATTCGCGCATTATTGGTATCAACGAAAATAACATTATAAAATTCTCGTAATTAGAATTTTTTAAATAGAAAATATAGTATTTTCATTATTTTTGAAACATTGCTGCAATATTGCTATCAAAAGTTTGCAATTTTATATCCCTGCAATGTCTTTGCAAGATTGCACTGCAATCTGCAAGATTGCAACGTTTCTGCAATGTAACTGCAACCATCTGTGCTGTATGGGTTTCATCGATTTTCTAGTATTTTCAGCAAAAACACTTCCGCCAGAGTTTCTACATCTTATATGGCCACAGTACATATAATTTACAAGTCTGCTTTCTGCTTACAGCCATGCTGATCTACAGGACGCAGAGAAACGTACGCAAACGAGGACTAAAGTTAATTCATGCAGGCATAATGTTATTTATTGTATTGCTAACAGTGATCGCTCTAGTAGCGGTTTTTGACAGCCACAATCTAGCTTCGCCAGCTCCTATACCGAACATGTATTCGCTACATAGCTGGGTCGGGCTGACCACCGTGATATTATTCTGCTGTCAGGTAACTATAGAAAACTTAAAAGGGGAAAAGGATTTGTTGCACGGAAAGTTTTGTATATTATTTTATTTTTTATTCTCGAATATTTGGAACGTTTAGGCTTTGATAAGCTTTCTTCGGTTTTAAATTTCATAATTTAAAATCTTATATTGATATTAGTGAGATAATACAACATTTAAGATTTCATCGTAGTACATGAAAGTAAAAATAACAAGTTTCAAAATACAGACGTTAAATGAATAATTGGAATATACGTCAACGAAAGCTATGATGAAGATCGGACACGATAGTCGACGTATAAAATTGAAGTTTCTTGACAAGAGGTCGAGTCATGATAATAATAAGAATTGGAAACTCACCTGCCAAGTCAGAGACACGCGTATCAACGCTCTTCATTTACAGTGGGTCGCCGGATGCGTTTCGTTCCTCTTTCCCGGGTTGCAATCTCCATTACGAGCCTCTTACATGCCAATGCACGTGTATTTCGGCGTTGCGGCTTTTGTGGGCGCGATTGCTTCGTGTTTGTTGGGACTTAACGAGAAAGCGTTCTTCGTATTGCAGTTAGTAGCCAATAGATCGCTCGGAAAAGTGACGAGACGGTTTGAAAGATACATTTTTTTGCTCGAAATTTCAGAGACAAATATGCAGCCTTTGTAAGTGAGGGAATGCTGATAAACTTCATAGGATTGCTGCTCATATTATTTGGAGGCTTGTCCGTGTACTTGGTAACGCAGGAACGTTACCGACGTTTGCCGAGGCCCGAGGACGAGGTCCTTTTGCCTGGCTGGCATGGCTAGTACACGAATTGAGATATGCCGCCCGATTCGCTTCTCGTTATGAAAATATCCGATTTTAATCCATACTTAATAAGTACTTACAAGTTGCTCGCTGTAAGTCTTGCGTTAACTTTACGAATAAGGTCGGTCCAATTGATTGAAGCACAAACGCAAAAGGGGTAAGAAACTATATATAGTATTCTATTGATCTTTTTTATTTTATTATATTCTAGTCTAAATATAACTTTTTATCGTTCTCTATTTTCTTGACGGATAAAATCTGTATATATATGTTTATATGTATGTTAATTCAGAAGCAATCGTATCTTTCTGAAAATTATGGTGCTACGTGTACGTACACAGTAATATTTATATATGTATACATATCTATAATTATACAACAGTAATATATGTATATAATTACACGGTAAAATATATAATTATGTTACACGCGTAAATGTAAATGTTTTAAATGATTTAGGGCCAGTTTCACAAACGTCGGTCAACTGTTAACCAGAGTTCGGTCAACTCCCTATCTTTTTCTATCTTATTGTCTAAATAAGAGACAGAGAATGAATTAACCTTCGGTTGGCAGTTAACCGTCGTTTGTGAAACTCGCCCTTAATTGACAATTGAAATGTAATATATGTATATGCATATACATATGTATTAGGTTGCTAAACAAATTCGTGTCGATTTAAATGAAATTAAAAGACATAGTTACAGGCAATGAAAGAACTTTATTCAGAAATGTATTTGTCGGTAGTACTGAAGGCTCTTCCTCGCCGTTTTTGTTGAAATTTCACAAGATTGTGTTGTTTAATCCATGCCCACACAGCACAGAAGGATTGCAGGAAGATTGCAGAAATGTTACATTGCAAGATTGCAATATTGCAGCAACGTTGCGCAACATTGCTGCAACGTTTCTGGAGGATTGCAGCAACGTTGAAATGTCCGCCCTCAGAGAGATTGCAGTGCAACATTATAGCAATGTTGCAGCGCAATATTTTTGGAATAATTTGTCGTTGTACATAAGCAGAGAATTTACTAATTACATATGCATCCGGACCTTTTTCAATACACAGCAAGCTATTGCGAAGGAGATTATGTCGCTTCGCAATAGATGGAGATTACGAGCAACACCGCACTGATTAAATATGTACTTAATAATTCGCGCATTATTGGTATCAACGAAAATAACATTGTAAAATTCTCGTAATTAGAAAAATTTTTTAAATAGAAAATATAGTATTTTTATTATTTTTGAAATATTGCTGCAATATTGCTATCGAAAGTTTGCAATTTTATATCCCTGCAATGTCTCTGCAAGATTGCAACGTTTCTGCAATGTAACTGCAACCATATATCTGTGCTGTATGGGGTCTGATGCACCTGGGAAAAAGCTAACGATAAATCGTAATCTTAATTTGAAGTTGCCGATGATTTTATCTGTGCAGTGAACTCTATACATACTGGAATGAGTGATCTATAGTTCTGGCTGTTGCCGAGAGAGAGGTGCGTTGGGTGAATCCTTGTCTCCTTCTAGTACTACCTGATTGGATAATCGCATATAAATGACGCCCTTCTTCTCGTCATTTATATGCGACTATCCAATCAGGTAGTACTAGAAGGAGACAAGGATTCACCCAAACGCACCTCTCTCTCGGCAACAGCCAGAACAATAGATTCTTATTATTGGCACTCGGCTCACTAACCACTGAGCCGACACGGCAGAACAATAGATCACTCATTCCAGTATGTATAGAGTTCACTGCATCTCACAGTGGGCCAGCAGACCTAAGAAAGTGGCCAAAATACTGAAAGTACTCTAATTGCGGTGGAAATGGATATTCAAAGGATTTTGAGATAGCTGAGTTCGAATTCAAACTCAGATTTTAGAAATTCAAAATGGCGGATCCAAAATGACGGATGGAAATCTACACTTACTGCAAACCCTGATGGAAAAATTTTGCTGAAAATGTAATGAAATTGATGAAAAGTGAAATGAAAGTTATTGGAAACTTGTTGAAACCATTTCAAAATAAATCATAAGTTTCGTTATGAAATTCAATGAAATACTGTGAAATTAGATGAAAGTTAATTAATATTACTAAAAATTAGTGAAAAAAATTTTGAAATGTATATTGTGAAATTTGCAAAATTTCACTGAAAATAAATTTTTTAATGAAAAATTGCTGAAATGATAATGAAATTGGGTCAATTGCAAGGGATTTTTAACCAAATTTCAGCAAATTTCATTACGTTTTCAGCAAATTTTTTCCATCAGGGAAAATTATAGTTTTCAGGATCCATCACGTGGAGATATTGCAATACGATTTAAGATCTCTTATTTTTTTATTATGGGTTCCCCTCGCCTCTCGCGAACCGGGGTGCTTTTTGGACCGTGAGTTCCCCTTGCCTCTCACGAGCCGGGGTGCTTTTTGATCGTGAGTTTCCTTCGCCTCTCACGAACCGGGGTGCTTTTTGGACCGTGAGTTCCCCTCGCCTCTCACGAACCGGGGTGCTTTTTGATCGTGAGTTCCCCTAGCCTCTCGTGAACCCCTCGAGTTACGCGACACACAGTCGCGCGCTGTCATGTTTATATGCACTATTTTCTTAACGTATATAAAAAAAGGAGCAAAAATGAGCACATTTACGTTATAGTATTCAACATATAGAATACATTCATGCTTTGTTTTTTTTCATATGACGTGTTAGTCCCAGTCTACAATAGAGATTTAGTCCCAGTCTACAATAGATGATTTAAGCTCTAAGCTTTAAGAAATTGGCCAATCACGGTCAAGTATGAGTAGAATGCGCGACTGTGATTAGTCAATTTCTTAAGGCTTAGGGCTTAAATCTCTATTGTAGACTGGGACTTAAGCCCTAAGCCTTAAGAAATTGACTAATCACAGTCGCGCATTCTACTCATACTTGACCGTGATTCGCCAATTTCTTAAAGCTTAGGGCTTAAATCATCTATTGTAGACTGGGACTTAGTCCCAGTCTACAATAGATGATTTAAGCTCTAAGCTTTAAGAAATTGGCCAATCACGGTCAAGTATGAGTAGAATACGCGACTGTGATTAGTCAATTTCTTAAGGCTTAGGGCTTAAATCTCTATTGTAGACTGGGACTTATAGCTAATCGAAAGGTAGCATTACTTTGAAAATTTCAGTAAAATACATCGAAAAATGTCAAAATATAAATATTTTGATTATATACATGATTTTTTATCTACTAACCATAAATTTATAAGTAATCCTTACATTTCAATATATTAAAAATGTACGAAATCTATTACTTTCGATCGGTATTTATAAACAGTAATCGCTACGATGATAATAACATACTGTTCGGTTTCACGATACTGCTAAATTAACACCAATCGATAAAACACCGTAAAAATTGGATCACAACTACTTCGAAGTATCTTGAATATCATGACATAATAAATTTGATAAAATTTGAAAATTGGTTTTTGGCCATAATTCCGAATCCCTGGCCCACTGTGCATCTGTGCTGTATGGGCCATTACCGACCGGAACGAACGACACCCACGCCACCCCCTCGAACATTTCCGCCCTCTAGAACGGCATTTTCGAGCCAATCGGCGGCGGCTACGAAAAAAAAACCTGTAAAGTGACAAAAACTTTTCGCGCCGTCGTATCGCGCGGTGTATGCGCGCATATATCGCTGTTATCGTGGCCCATTTTACTGGCGGAGGTCGCGCGATGGCACACGCCCATTCCACGTTTATGCAATCGTAAACATCGTCGAGGAACAACGTCAGCGCGTTATATGGGCACACGCGAACGGTGCCGGACACCGCTTTCTCAGCTAGCTTCGCGCAACGCGTGTCTCTTTTTCGCTCGCCTGTTTCGCACGTCGCGGACGATTGTATTTTATATCGCTGGCTGACAGTGTCGCTCAGCTGTCTCGAGTTGCCACCGTTTCTCCCTGATCTCGCGCGGGAAGCGATTCGGCGTGGGCGCTCGGCAGTGCAGTAAAAAGTAACAGGTCAATCAATGGTTAACCAAATACCTGTGCCGCAGGCCAAGTATGAATTGCTAACCAACATACGACAGTGAGTACCGAGAGGCTCGAGTGTACCGCATTTTAGAGCCGCTTTTGTCATTTAAATTATGCAATTAACACGCACCGTGCGTCAGAGAAGGGGAAGGGCAGCGCGGGGGGGGGGGGTAGATAAAGGAAATTTGTATCGATCTCTCACGCTACAATATAAAATACGTCATCGCTGGTTCTTGAACTCTCCCCCCCCCCTCCCTCTCGCCATGAAAGATTATCGCGAGGATCGCTTGTCGTTATTCGCATAAACACGACACTCTAGACGGGTCTTTCCTATCTTGTGTGTACATACGCGTCCGCACAGCTGATCTGAGACAGAGCGTCGCTTTCAGACCGCGCTGGAGAACGCAGGTCGTCTGCCTCACCTTATCATTCCTGATCGTCGGGGTGCTGTTCATCACGCGCGCCTGGTTCGGCATACTTCTGCTGAAGGCACCGCGGGCCGACAGGTTCGTCGAGGAGCACATTGACGATGCCAAGATTGCTGCGTGGCTACGTCGGGCTCGGATGTACGCCGAGTCGACGAAGGAGAATCAGAATGCGGACAGGAACACAAGTGTCGGCGCATCGGAGCAGTACCACCGCGATACAGCCAGGTGAGAGAGCGCCCGACGGAGTGCGATCCTGCAAGGGAAGGATCCACGCTCTGCTCCTCGCCAATTTTAATGAAACTTATAGGAGTTGCAGAATATACTGTGCAGTTAATACCTGTAAAGCCGTTTTTCCGAATGGGCCCTAGGAGCCAAGTTATAACCAATTACATGTAGCACTTTGTACCCACACAGCACAGAAAGATTACAGGAAGATTGCAGAAATGTTACATTGCAAGATTGCAATATTGCAGCAACGTTGCGCAACATTGCTGCAACGTTTCTAGAGGATTGCAGCAACGTTGAAATGTCCGCCCCCAGAGAGATTGCAGTGCAACATTATAGCAATGTTGCAGCGCAATATTTTTGGAATAATTTGTTGTCGTACATAAGTAGATAATTTACTAATTACATATGCATCCGGGCCTTTTTCAATACACAGCAAGCTATTGCGAGGCAACCTAAGGAGATTATGTCGCTTCGCAATAGATGGAGATTGCGAGTAACACCGCCACTGATCAAGTACTTAATAATTCGCGCATTATTGGTATCAACGAAAATAACATTACAAAATTCTCGTAATTAGAAGAATTTTTTAAATAGAAAATATAGTATTTTTATTATTTTTGAAACATTGCTGCAATATTGCTATCGAAAGTTTGCAATTTTATATCCCTGCAATGTCTGCAAGATTGCAACGTTTCTACAATGTAACTGCAACCATCTGTGCTGTATGGGTACCCACACAGCACAGAAAGATTGCAGGAAGATTGCAGAAATGTTACATTGCAAGATTGCAATATTGCAATCTTTGCGCAACATTGCTGCAACGTTGAAATGTCCGCCCTCAGAGAGATTGCAGTGCAACATTATAGCAATGTTGCAGCGCAATATTTTTGGAATAATTTGTTGTTGTACATAAGCAGAGAATTTACTAATTACATATGCATCCAGGCCTTTTTCAATACACAGCAAGCTATTGCGAGGCAACCTAAGGAGATTATGTCGTTTCGCAATAGATGGAGATTGCGAGCAATACCGTCACTGATCAAGTACTTAATAATTCGCGCATTATTGGTATCAACGAAAATAACATTATAAAATTCTCGTAATTAGAAACATTTTTTAAATAGAAAATATAGTATTTTCATTATTTTTGAAACATTGCTGCAATATTGCTATCGAAAGTTTGCAATTTTATATCCCTGCAATGTCTCTGCAAGATTGCAACGTTTCTACAATGTAACTGCAACCATCTGTGCTGTATGGGTATTTTTAAAAAGTTATTTTTTTCTTTCTCTTTATTTCTCTTGTATATTATCTCCAGCGCGACGCTTTCCCTATGGCGCTACGCCAATTTTTGTATCGAATTCCGAGACAACGCTACATATACTACAAAATCTCACATTGTTGGTATCTTCTCGATTTGTATAGTACATTTCTGGGAAGTTAGCCCTCATAATTTAAAAACTTAATTTTGCCCAAGAGTTTTGCATAGATCTACAATAGTTTCAAGGTTCTTGATAGTTTTAAAAGGTAGTTCTGGCCATTAAAGGCGTGAAAATTAATTTAAAAGATATTGGGCCTTCCTGGCGTACGGATGGTAATGTTTTATTTGAAAATTTATTGTATATGTTTAGTCAGGTCCTCGTATGCTACTATACAATACCGGGGGACCTGAACACGTCGTGGGAGCTCAGTCCGTCGCACATTGACCCTCATATTTGTACGCATATTATCGTGGGTTTTGCGGGCGTGGTAAACAATACGCTCGACATAGGTGACACTGCGTGGGTGTACGAGCGAGTAGTTGCCTTGAAGAATCTTGAACCAAACTTGAAGGTCATGATCAGCGCTGGCGGAAACAATGAGCTCCACAATGGTTTCTCCGAGATGGTAAAGAATCACGCAAATAGAAAAAGGTGTGTCCATCACGCAGCTCTCTATTTCTATACACGATATACAGTCAGAATATGTATCATTAACGCCCTTACGTGTAGGTTTATCCAATCGGTATTAAATGTAACCAAGACCTTCCGTTTGGACGGCTTTGACGTTGACTGGGAGTTTCCAGCCTGGTTAGGAGCGGATGATCGTGAAAGGATACATTTTGTGCAGCTGTTACAGGAATTACGAAAGGAGTTTGATCACAGTGGACAAAAATTGATTTTGACTGTAGCGGTTGCAGCACCGCAGGCTATTGTGGATCAGAGTTACAGCATTCCTGAAATGGCAGAGTATGTGCCGTAGTAACAGAAGAATACGATAATATTATAAAATACTTGAAGAAAAATATCACGATCATCTTTTTCAGGCACGTCGACTTTATAAATCTCATGTCGTACGATTATCACTTCTACGTTTGGTATTTCCCAGTGACAGATCTGAACGCCCCGCTTTTTCCTCGTTGCACAGAGACCGGCTATTTATCCACATTGAATGTGAATTTCTCTGCTCAGTACTGGGTGGCGAAGGGAATGCCGCGGGAAAAGATTGTTGTCGGCATACCGGCTTATGGTCACTCTTACAAATTAGACAATCCATCGAATAATGATTTACAAGCACCAGCCAGCGGATTCGGGAAGCTTGGCGTGAAAGGTTTCGTGTCTTATCCTACTGTTTGTCAATTTCTTAAATCCGGAGCTACAAGCGTCTTTAATAAAGAGAGCCGTGTACCATATACGTATAAAGGCAAGGAATGGATATCTTATGACAATGAACAGAGCATCTATTACAAGGTAATGCGTTTTACCTTGCTAACATAAAATTGAGTATTAAGCAGATTTGTCGAATCTATAATGTACGAACATACAACGATGTAAGCTCAGTTGAAAAACGTTTGTGTTGCAGAGTACGTGGATTCGTACCAATGGTTTCAAGGGAGCCATGATTCTATCTTTAAACGTTGACGATTGGAACGGCACTTGCCACGGTACAAACGAAACGTTTCCTTTGACACGTACCGTCTCGAAAGTATTATTTAAGGAGTCTGATTAGTAACAAGACTATGTCAATAGGAATACTTTAAATATGCGCAGTCATTGAATGATCCAGCTATTCCGGAAGCTTAAGGCTTACATTGAAGTGATCCATTCCATCGCATTCCTATTTAATGTATTACTTTGACTCTACCTCAGTTGCTCAAACATTCTTTTGTACAAATAAGTTGTTGAAGTTACCTTTAGCACATAGTATTATATGCTAGCTAATAGAGCATAGCACTTGTACCTGGTTGAGTCAAATCAAAAGTATTTATACGCGAAAGTATTTATGCGCGTTGAACTGTATATTATGTAAAGATACATACGGTGTTTCCTATATTGTTATCTTTTCCGTGTGCTTCACAAGCAAATAGTATTGGAAATAATTCCAAAGTATTCTATATTAAATAATTTCGAGACAAGACATAAATGTCTATTGAAAATGCCACCTTATCCAGAATCGTAAGCATATACAGGGTGTTACTAAATTCATGTTACAACGCTTGAGGGGTGAAAGTACAAATCAAAACAAACATTTTTTACCAATACACATGAGGGCGGAAACGAACCCTTAACCCGTTGGAACGCGCGATGTAGAGCTACTAGATAAAGGGGAGCTGACTCGTCCGCCATTTTGGAGCCCAAACGTTTGACTTCGACAAATGCATTTCGGCACAAGATATGAATTTCTTGTTCTAAATTTATTGTTAATAAAATCCAAATTACGTTTTTGTTTTTGGAAAGCTATATTTTTAATTAATTATTAAAGCTATATTATTAATTTTA